CATCTAATACATGTACCTATACATGTACACATGTAGTATATACATGTATGTACATTTACATGTACATGTACACATCTAATACATGTACCTATACATGTACACATGTATTATATACATGTATGTACATTTACATGTACATGTACATGTACACATCTAATATATACATGTACCTATACATGTACACATGTAATATATACATGTACATGTACATGTACACATCTAATATATACATGTACCTATACATGTACACATGTAATATATGCATGTACCTATACATGTACACATGTATTATAAGATTATATGCGTAATAGTTATAAATATTACATTATTAACTATATCCATCGCAACTGGCTTGTAATCGACGAGCTAATTACCTTTCTTCCAGCGAATCACGGACATCACGTCATGACGTTACATATCACGTCACCGGGCAAATCACGTAAAAATGAAGCAAATTGGAAAAACGTGTGTTTTTCAGCGGCGACGAAAAAATGCATTCGTAGACGGACGCCGCCGTTCTAACCCCACCGTCTCTCACACCCTTCGTCTCTCTCTCCCTGGCAGGCGACGAAGCAGATGGAGGAACGTCTGAAGGCATTCATCGATAACAACCGCGACATCGACACGTTGTCGGACGCGACGGCGCGATTCGTTCACCACCAGGTGGTCGAGTTGGCGCGCGACTGCCTCGTTAAGGCTCAGGAGAAAGTCATCACGACGCGCTACTTCTACGAGCTGTCCGAAAATCTGGAGCGCCTGCTGGGCGACGTACGTATGAAACGCGCGTAGAAAACACGTGTAACACACGACATATGTATGAAAACACGGGGACAATACACGCGTAATATGTAAATATGCAATAAACCTCTAGAAAACACGGGGACAACACGTTCTGAACAGAGAGAACACATGTAGAACACATGTAGAACTCATGTAGAACACGTAGGGAGCCGGCTTCGTGCGTGTCGTATGACGTTCTCGTGTGTTTTTCAGGCGCAGGAGCGGTCGCCTGCGGCAGGAGCGCACATACACCAGCTCATCAAGAAACTACTCATCATCGTCTCACGACCCGCCAGACTCCTCGAATGTCTCGTGAGTACGCCCGACACCGTCTCAACTCGTGTCTCTCGCCCTGCGCTCAACTACTTGTCTCATTTGGCCTCACGCCCGACGCAACTGAACGCTTCAGTGTCTTCCCACCTCACCCCTCCCTACCTGCATGCCTCGGTTATGTCTCACACACGTGTACCTGCGTGCCTCAGCCATGTCTTACCCCCGTATACCTGTACGCCTCAGCCATGCCTCACCCCAGCGTACCTGCACGCCTCAGCCATTTCTCACACGCACGTATCTGCACACCTCAGCCATGCCTCAGCCCTTTCCTATCTGCACACCTCAGCCATGCCTCAGCCCTTTCCTATCTGCACACCTCAGCCATGCCTCAG